CTTCTTTTATTTGTGAACATGATTTGGATCCTGTAGCCCCTCTGTTTTTCCCATCCCCCCGGGCCATCTCCATTCTACCCCAAAAGCCCTAGAAAACTAGGTATTTACCCCACTATTGACCCTTAAATATTACCCAACCTACGATTCTTTCCACAAATAGTAGTAAAATTCCCGTAGAATCCTCTATTTTATCCCCCAACCCCCCTAAACTGCTCTTTTTTTGCAACGGTTTTATAGATGTGTGAATGAAAGCACGACTCTCTTGGGCAGTTCTTTCATTCCCAGTTCCTTGTGGGAGTTGAATCTGACAGGATGTTCTTCGAAGTCAACAGGGTCCACGTCATCACTGTGACTCGTGCTTTTGAAATATGCTGGTGTTGGTGGGACTGAGTCGATCTTAATCATTCGATTTGATTTAGAGTGTGGGTTAATGTATTCCTCGACATCATAATGGGGTCTCGTTTTAGAGTCTGGGTTAATGAGACAGTTAATGGGGGTTCTCGTTTTGCAGGAGAGACGTTAGGGCTTAGGTCCAAAGTGTGCCGTGGCATTAAATGTCAATGATGTCATCGCAGCCTTGAGATTTCAAAAAGAGACTGGCTATTTATTTGCTGCTAGTTTCATCACGCCTGCCTGGTATCCATCTCTCAGTAATTGTCAAGCTGCAAACGATAATTGCTCCAGAAAATCCTTCTACCAAACAATGAATCGACTCTGCGAGCCATTCTGTGCAGTTTTCAGGTGCTTTTGGCAGAAAAAAAGTCATCTGCCAGAGAAAAACACCCTCCCGGCAGAAAAAAAACACCTCCCGGCAGAAAAAGCCATGCCGGCTTTCGGAACTGCAGAGTTCGAGGGCTTCTGCAGAGTGCACGCCAGCCTGCTTCAGGAAAAAAAGTGTTTCTGTGGACTCAAAAAGGGCGTTTCTGCAGAGTTTTTCATTCCCAGTGTTGTCCCAAAGTGCGATTGCACGCTCCCCATCGGTCATCGTGGCATTGCTACGTTTCATTTGCTGCCATGGGACGATTTCTCCGTGTGGCTGGAAGAGTCCAACTCTGAAAGCGTCGAGCGCGGTGGCCGTCAGTGATACGATGCGGATGGGTGCCTTCCTCTTGAACGACCAATGGTGATACATCTGTATCACCGCGAGCAGTAGCTTCTTCCTGGTGAGAGGTACTGGTCATGGAGCGTTGGTGTCGTTGGAAGCTTGGAGATCCATAATCTCATCTTTGGTGAGAAGTAGGAGATCCATCCATCCATCGATTCCTTGTTCAGACAGTGCGATGCGCATGTGAGATGCAAGATACCCTGTGTTGGAAGCATCTTCGCCGCATAGGTTGCATAGGACATGCTTGAGCCTGGCTGGTTCGTGGGTGTGGCAGTGCGTAACTGCGACTGTTAATTTGCTAACGTGAGGAAATACTACTTGAATAGAGGGATCTCGTAGAGGTAGCTACCACCCAACGAGACCAACTGCAACTATTCAAGACGAGTGCAAGGTAAATGCAAAGTTTGCTTCTTAGTAATTCATAATCTGTGTTGTGAGCTTTGGTTGATGCGATCAGTAAAGCTAGTTCGTAGCGTGTTAGATCAATGCATCGTGGTAGTTGATCTTGATTCATACGGAAGTCAACGTGGTATCTGCGTGAAACGGTTCGTTGGCAGGATGCTTTACTCCTGTCGAATACTCCAGTTTACCGTGTCCTTTGGTTTCGTTGAGAACGTGTGCTTGCCAGCGTTCTCTGTTCCATCGTGTTGACTCATAAAGCATGACTCAATCTACTCACGGATACTCTGAGTCGTGGGAGGAACTGTAACGCTTTCAATCTTTTATTTGTGTTATGCTATTCTTTCACCTTCTCAGAAAAACGAAGAAACCCAGGTGGAGGTAATGACACAGACTGCACCGAGAAAAGCAGGAGTCACTCTCGTCCCCCTCACTTTATTGATGCTTTTTGTTCTTACTTTCTTTGCTACAGGTTCATTCCAGGGCTCAGCAGGAGTCGATGGAGGACGAATTGTCGGTTGGCTCAGATGTAGAGATTGAAGACGAGTTCGGTTTGAAAGAGCAGTTTGTTAGCTTTGGGTATTACAGACACAAGAATGATCACAAAGGCATAGAATCCCTCAGTGAGCTTACACAGCACGTCACCACTACAGATAACGACCCTAGGGGGAGCCACTGAGGAGCATGGAATTTTGTAATAAACTTATTTTATTGAAAACCAAGGGTTAGAGATAAAGAAAGAGAAAGCGCTAGAAACCTAAGTACCATACCTAGCTAGCCAGCTAGCGAGATAGAGAACTGCCATTGATTTCGTGTTGACAAAGCACAATCTTACTATTTTACTATAGAATCGTATGGTGGTTTGCACTAACAGTACCAAATTCCTTTTCAAATTGTGATTTATTAGATTCGTACAGTACTTTGTATAGTAATCGTGTCTATGCATGTTACAAGAACAAGACATTCATGTATCCTGCGCAGGCATATGTAATAGTGTAAAAGCGTTGAAATGCAGGACTCGAGTTACATATCTCCTAGCTTGACTAGTGACACATTATGAGAATGCGTGACTGCACATGTAGGTAGAAACGTACAGCATTGCATATAGTAATATATACTACGGGTGCAAAAAGGTTTGTATGCGGGATTCGAACTAACCACCTTATATCTTTCAAGTAACCACTAAAGCGAATCCTGCACAGCCTTAATTATTCGTGACATTTGAAACATGCATCGAATCTCCAAACGGAACACGATTCCTGCATAAGGCTATACGTATAGTGAAACAGTACAGATTCGTGAGTTCACTTTATGTAGATGTGTACAGTAAAATATATAGTAAATCGTCCTAAGGGGTGCAACCCGGTTCTTATGCAGGATTCGTGTTTCTTGTGGTGATGTGTCATGCTAGTAAGACATTCGATTTCTGCACAGGCGTTAATAAGAGCGCCCTCGAAGATATAAGCCAATAAGTATAGTAATAGTGTACTTTTCAATAGTTCTTGACACATGTCCATTCTCTGAAGGCGTTTCAAGGCATAATAATAAAAAAGGAATCATGTAATATATTTACAATCCATGGTACAGACATATAGTAAAATAGTAGTATTGTGGTTTGCGTTCATCAAATCTTACTCCTGCGTGTTTGTCTAAGTTGCGCAAGTCTGTGTAGCTTTAGTAGAAAAGGCTTAAATAAATGCTTCATTAATAAGTTTTTTGGAGACTGAGCATAAATTCCTCAGTGTGGACCTCACCTACAAACTCCCTTGGATTACATTCAAGAAACTCAGTGAGGTCAGAAAGCGTCCCAACAAGAAAGCCAAGGATTGCGTAGTAGGAGATGTTGCAAGTATGATCAGGGAGGGGAGCATTGATGTAATTAGATCTCTCTTAGATTGGAAAAGAGACCATTTCAAGGAGGGTGCTGCAAAAATTGGGTGATTTGGATTTTTGCTTGTTCCCAGTTGACTGACCTTTTCAATGACCCACAAACTGTGGCCGACCTTGAAGCCGGAGGCAAGCGAGATTTCGAAAAAAGTGGCCGTCCTTGAATTCGAAAGCATGTTCGAGCTATTCCAAGCTATTGATACTACAGCCCCCGCCCCGTCAAACCCTTCTTTTGTTTGTGAAGACGATTTGGATCCTGTAGCCCTTTGGTAACTCTGTTTTTCCCCATCCCCCCGCTCCATCTCCATTCTACCCCAAAAGCCCTAGAAAACTAGGTATTTACCCCACTATTGACCCTTAAATATTACCCAACCTACGATTCTTTCCACAAATAGTAGTAAAATTCCCGTAGAATCCTCTATTTTATCCCCCAACCCCCCTCAACTGCTCTTGTTTTGCAACGGTTTTATAGATGTGTGAATGATAGCATGACTCTGATGGGCAGTTCTTTCATTCCCAGTTCCTTGTGGGAGTTGAACCTGACAGGATGTTCTTCGAAGTCAACAGGGTCCACGTCATCACTGTGACTCATGCTTTTGAAACATGCTGGTGTTGGTGGGACTGAGTCGATTTTATTCGAATAAGTGGAGTCTCGTTACGTCTCCATCAGCACCTTAGGAGAAATCATAAGTCTTTGGGTTCCGGGGGGAGTATGGTCGCAAGGCTGAAACTTAAAGAAATTGACGGAAGGGCACCACCAGGAGTGGAGCCTGCGGCTTAATTTGACTCACACGGGAAAACTTACCAGGTCCAGACATAGTGAGGATTGACAGATTGAGAGCTCTTTCTTGATTCTATGGGTGGTGGTGCATGGCCTTCTTAGTTGGTGGAGTGTTTGTCTGGTTAATTCCGTTACGAACGAGACCACTGCCTTCTAAATAGCCCACTGAGTTAATTTTCACTGAGTGCTGCTTCTTAGAGGGACGTGCATTTATCAGATGCAGGAGGATAGTGGCTATAACAGTCTGTGATGCCCTTAGATTGTCCTGGGCCGCACGCGCGTACACTGATGCATTCAACAGTTTACCTTGGCCGAGAGCCTGGGCAACCTTTTAAAGTGCATCGTGATAGGGATAATTATTGCAATTATTAATTTGAACGAGGAATTCCTAATAAACGCAAATCATCAATTTGCATTGATTACGTCCCTGCCCTTTGTACACACCGCCGTCGCACCTACCGATTGAATGGTCCGGTGAGGACTCGGGATTGTGACCAGTTTCCTTCATTGGGAGTGGTTGTGAGAACTTGTCAAACCTTATCATTTAGAGGAAGTGAAGTCGTAACAAGGTTTCCGTAGGTGAACCTGCGGAAGGATATTACCACACCTGATCCAAGTCATGTTACCCCGTGAATCGTAGGACTGCGAGAGCCCTCAACATATTAACCCCCCTTCGGGCTCGCGGTGGCTGTTCAACGTCCTGCCCGCAAGAGACTGCTGCGAGTGATCGGCGCGGCCTGTAAACCCAAAACCCATGTACCCGAGTATCTGAATAGTGAATGGGCGCTGCTGCACCCTTGGCGGCGCCCTGAAACACAATGACATTACAACTTTCAGCAACGGATGTCTAGGTTCCCACAACGATGAAGAACGCAGCGAAATGCGATACGTAATGCGAATTGCAAGACCTCGTGAATCATCAAAATTTTGAACGCATATTGCGCTTCCAGGAATTTCCTGGCAGCATGCTTGTCTGAGTGTCCGCACACCCCACTCAGCACCCGACCTCCTGGGCCTGCCTAACGCGGATCAGGGGCTGCTGCTCTCAGAGCGGCGCCCTGTGGGGGGATGGGCGGCTGGATTATGGCTTTGCCATGGCCTCTGCGCTGTGGCTTCGCTGAAGTTTGCTTTAGCACGACGACGACTGCCGTGGCGAGCCTACAGTCCGACGAGTGCTGGCTTTTCCTTCCTGTAAGCCGTTCGCGGTGACAAGGGGAGGGTACGAGCTGGTGCACCGACGACGCCTGGTTCTGCTGCTAGCGACCGCACAGTCGAGTGAAACGAGGTTGTTCGCGACCTCCACTTACCATACATCGGATCTCAGCTCAAGCAAGAGGACCCGCTGAATTTAAGCATATAATTAAGCGGAGGAAAAGAAACTAACTAGGATTCCCTCAGTAAGGGCGACTGAACGGGGAAGAGCCCAGCATGTGAATCTGCGCTTCGGCGCCGAATTGTGGTCTGTCGACTCTGGTGTTATTGGCCGGGCTAAGTCCCTTGGAACAGGGCAGCATAGAGGGTGAGACTCCCGTTGCCTGGACTTTGGAGCCGATGTCTACGAGTCGAGTTGTTTGGGATTGCAGCTCAAGTGGGTGGTAAATTCCATCTAAGGCTAAATATTGGTGGGAGACCGATAGCGCACAAGTACCGTGAGGAAAGATGCAAAGAACTTTGAAAAGAGAGTTAAAGAGTACCTGAAATTGCTGAAAGGGAAGCGAGGAAACCAGTGCCTGCTGAGTCATATTTCCTACTTCGCTTGCGGGTGGGCGCTGTGTCTCGGCCCTGTCAGGCTTGGTTGGTTGGCCGGAACCGCGTGGTGAGAGTTGATCACTGCAAGACCGCGGCCGTCCTGACTAGGCTGACGAAATGGTTTCTTTACCCCGTCTTGAAACACGACCAAGGAGTCTAACATATGTGCGAGTATAGGGGGACAAACCTCCGTGCGCAATGAAAGTAACAGTGGTGGACCTTCGGGGCACAATCGCCGGCCTCAATCCCTCGGGAGAATGGTCTGAGGTGAGCATATATGTTGGGACCCGAAAGATGTGTGAACTATGCCTGAATAGGGTGAAGCCAGGGGAAACTCTGGTGAAGCTCGTAGCGATTCTGCGTGCAAATCGATCGTCAAATTTGGGTATAGGGGCGAAAGACTAATCGAACCATCTAGTAGCTGGTTCCCTCCGAAATTTCCTCAGGATAGCTGCAATCGACAGTCAATTTTATCAGGTAAAGCGAATGATTAGAGGTTCGGGGGCGCAATGCTCTCGCCTATTCTCAAACTTTAAATGGGTAAGAACTCGGGCCCTGCGGTTGAATGACGGTTGCTAGTGGGCCACACCGGGTAAGCTGGTGCGGCGATGCGGGATGCTCCGAACGTGAGGATAAAGTGCCAAAGTGTTCGCTCACCTAGATCCCACAAAAGGTGTTGGTTCATAATAACAGCAGGACGGTGGCCATGGAAGTCGGAATCCGCTAAGGAGTGTGTAACAACTCACCTGCCGAATGAACTAGCCCTGAAAATGGATGGCGCTGAAGCGGGCCACTTATACCTCACCACTGGCGAAAGTGTTTGTTGCCAGTGAGTAGGAGGGCGTGAGGGTTGCTGTGCAGCTTGTGGCGTGAGCCAGAGTGAAGCGGCCCTTAGTGCAGATCTTGGTGGTAGTAGCAAATATTCAAATGAGAACTTTGAAGACTGAAGTGGAGAATGGTTCCGCGTGAACAGCAATTGGACGCGGGTTAGTCGATCCTAAGAGATAGGAGAAATCCGTTGCAAGGGTGGCGTTTCGGCGCTCCTTCTATCGAAAGGGAATCGGGTTAATATTCCCGAACCAGGACGTGGATGCAAAGTGGCAACACAAGCGAAGCTGGGGACGGCTGCGGGGGCCCTGACAAGAGTTTTCTTTTCTTGTTAACAAGTCTACTGACCCTGGAATCGGATTGACCGGAGATAGGGTTGGCAACTTGGGAAAGGCGGTTACTTTTGGACCGTTTCAGTGCGCCCTCGTCGCCCCTTGAAAACCTGGCAGCGTGTCTTATTCGCACCCCTGGTCGTACACATCACCGCATCAGGTCTCCAAGGTTAGCAGCCTCTAGTCGATAGAAGAATGTAGATAAGGGAAGTCGGCAAACTAGATCCGTAACTTCGGGAAAAGGATTGGCTCTGAGGGTTGGGCCTAGGGGTCTCCTGGCTGAAGTTGTGGCTGCTAGGCTGGGCTGCTTCACGTTCCTTGCCACTTTGGAGCCTTGGGAAACAGCTCTCTATGACGAGCTTGAATGGATGGTGGACGCCTACTCAGTCCTGCAGATTGTCACAGCCATGCCCTTCTGGGTGGCCAGCGATGGGGCTGCAGACATTGAAGCCGGTAAGGCGAGTTTTGCATGGGTCCTGGCAGACAACCGCGGCCAAATTGTGCTTCGGTGCTCTGGTCCAGTTTTTGGTATGGTTCCGACTTCCTACAGGGCCGAGGCCTATGGCATTCTATCCCCTACTTGCCTTCTTCGACGATTGCTGGAGTTCTACGATCAGACCAGCATGAAGAATTATGTACACTTATGCGACAATGAGTCTGTGACGAATAAGTGCGCTAGCTGTCTCGAGTATGAGGGCTGGTACCCCAATGATTCGTTGAACTCCGACTGGGATGTCTTGCAGCAGATCGAGGATTCGTTCCGGGCTGCAGTCACTGTGCCCAAGATGGAGCACATCAAATCGCACCAGGACAAGCACAAGGCCATCGAAACACTACCCCTAAAAGCACAACTGAACTGCAGAGCTGACAAACTGGCAGGCAGTTACATGAACAGACACGTGACACAGGATCACTCCAAGGTACTCCGATTTCCGGCAAACCTGGCCCAGCTGCACCTTCCCAGAGGAACATGCACATACAAGCTCCCCAGAACACTGCGGCATCTCAGGAACGACCAGCCACTGTTCGACCACATTGTCAAACTGAATCCCGACTGGGACGAGGACACCCCTACACTGGTTGATTGGACAGCCCATTGATAAATGTGGTTTATATACCACAGAAATTGCCTCTCCAAATACCGAATAGATAAGATTTTTCATGATTTCATAGGATTAACAGTACGACGCTTTACCCGTTTTCGTTGCTTACCTCATCTCCTCGCAGTACCTGTGCGGGGCCAAGCAGTGGGTGGTTTCGTAGTTCTAGCTACGGTCCCCTGGGAGTTCGGGTTTGTGGGTTTCTAGTTCGATTCTTGGTGGTTGTTCCCTTGTGTTCCGAATCGTTCTCCCACAATAAGTACTCCATGTCGGCACGTAGAAAGCTCCTAGTAAGTATGCACTAGCGGTAGCCCATAAGTCTTCTCATGCATTCTACAAGTCTGCAGCAACCGGATCCTGCAGGGCTAGAGAGGCACGACACATACGTAAGCATGCACCAGTTCCGGGGGAGTTATAGTCTTCGTTCCCCGTAACATTCGTACCATCAACCAGTAAAGACTTGGGGGGAGAAGTTCACCTCCAGACTTAGAGATTGGCAAGTCTCTACAGTCGAATAATACTCAATAGCGTCCCTAGAATAATAATAGTAGTCGTGCTCTGGGGGAGTTCTCTTCCCACCGTGACTTAGTACGGCGAACAACTAGGGAATGACGCTTAAGACCTTCAGAAGATCTCCACCCTGCTCGTGAGTTAAGGAAGAAACACAACGTATCGTACTAGTACACCTGCACCGTACTAGTTCCCGACAGTCAACTCGTGAAGAACACATCAAGCCCGTGGCTGACTACTGAGCGGTAATCAGCGCCTTCACCATCGTACAGCAGTTCAACTCGTAATTCCCCAGGAAGACCCAGAAATATACTAAGCATAGTCCAACAAGAAATACAGTAGGATCGCTGAATAAGCGACTAGTCCGTTTGCACGACCAATCCGAACACTTCCTACCTCTCACCTTACTGTGAGAACCCTCGGAATTCCATGAGATTCCGGGAGCGAATCGGCGAGTCAAAACACGTACCTCCACGACTGACGTAGTAGCGTCACGACTACGACGACTCGAAGAATCCTTCCAATGATCTCGAAGGCTAGCGCTGATCAAGCAGCGCTAAAGCGAAAATTACCTGCTACCACCCAGTACCGTGGAATTAGTCTGGCTTGTCCAACTCGCTGCGAACCTGCAGAGTTGGTCGGCATGGGGAGTGATAAATGTGGTTATATACCACAAATGCTCTCCAAATACCGAATGATAAGATTTTTTCATGATTCATAGCCCATGGTGAGCTGTCAACCGTCATGAATCCACAAACCGACAATTGTGAAGTTCATATTTCAATTGTTGCAAGTTGGGAAAAGGATCCAACGGGATGACCCCAAGTATAGATCACACTGTCCCCGTTCTGGCGGTGATCACGAGACTGAAATCCATTCCTGATGCCCGCAATGTTGACGTGGATTGTGGCGAGGACCATGCAACGAGCGATCATCACAAGGTTGCGCAAGGATCCACGACCCCTTCCTCCAGGAAATTGCTTCGTGGACTGACAATACCACTAAGATCGATTCCTCCACGATGGCATACCTGACAGTATAGGACCTCGTGACACTACAAAATCCATTGGTTGGGACAACTTCTCTGAGAGACGTTTGTCCAAGCACTGGCTAAGCATCAAGTGTGCATATCTGCATCGGGTCGGCTCCCAGGAGACCACCAAGACAGGCAGCTCTGGGTCACCAACCTAGCCTCACTGCTCATCAAGCAGTGGTGGAACCTGTGGGAGGATCGAAATGCTGCCAGGCATGGCAAAGACAGGGAAGACCAGTGGAAGAAGAAGCACGAACAGCTTCAGTGGGAGGTGGAACTCATTTACGAGAAAGCGGATCTGATCCCAGCGGAGCTGGTGGATTTTATCTTCAAGCGACCGCTTGACGAGCAAATGGCAAAGGGCCCAGGCGACATCAAAGCGTAGCTTGCCAATTGGCTGCCCGTCGTCGACAAGGCACTCAGGGACGAGC